TCTGATGAGACCGCCCTCTTCGAGCGTTACACTTCTTCCCGTTAGGCCAGATCATGGAGAGCTATTTTTCCTTGCATTTGCGGTTATCAGTTTAGATATGTCATTTTCTTGCTCTGTTTAGATGCAATGTTATGCAACAATAGCACTATGAAATATATGACAGTCACATGGCCTCGTCTCTTGTCGAGACGGCCTCGCCTCGTCGAGAGCAATAGAAGGCGACACCTTGGATGTACATATGCTTTGGCGTTGTCCCCATGCCCAATGCTCCCTTACCTCCCTCTTTTTCACCCTTCTCGACCCTCTGACTAGGCAGGCTGGCTCACCCCCCCCCCCCCCAGCTTCAACTCGTTGATACACTACTGCTCCTACTGGTACAGCATGTCCATGCTGTACCGGGTGAGCACTGGTGGCCCCAATCAAGCACCGGACTATGGTGTAACTAATAAAGGTTCCCTCTCTCTCTCTTTCTCTGTCTCTCAAGAGAGCAGTGGATATCCCACACGTTTGGCTTTGGCGCAAACGACAAAGATAACGCAGTCCGTGTCAGAAACCCAAGTCTGGCTCGCAGCTTGCTCAAATGGTGTCTCTGAACAGAGCCGAATTAGCGCCTGAAGCCCCTCTACAAGCTCGCAGAGAGCAGGTGGCCGCAAAGGCTTGAAAGTCCTACTTTGTCAACGAGAGGCGAAGATTAACTCACTCTCGAGATTGTATTCGTCTCATGCAGTTTCCTTGCTTTTCTGTCTTAGCATAACTCAACAAAGGGTGAAAGCTACTGCCCTTGTGGGCCAGTCTGAGCGACGGAGCTAAGCACGTGCCAAGATTCCACAGGAGGAGTACACTAAGACATTACGTTGTCACATGCATTGTTCTTACACGCCCCGATTGGCTTGCTGATGCCGTAGCTTTTGCATTTTCCCAAGTTCGGAAAAACGAAGAATTACTGTTTCCAGATTCTTTCCTGCTAGCTTCATGGACTGGACCAGCACTATACTACAGAACAACACTTTCGAAGCAACAAATAAATAAGCACGAAGTTATGATATTGACGCAGTAATTCGCAACCGTGTTGGGGAAGGATGCTCCAGTCACTTTGTTTCTCAGAGCTAAGAGTTCAAAAAACTGCATACACCTACTTTATCTTGCATGCATCAATGCCTTGTTGCTATCTTAAAAATGAGCTTAGCTATGCCAGCTAAGTTGATGCTGGGCAATCTTTTTGAGAAGAAACAAACACCAACTGCTTCAAGTGCACTGTCAACGTCGACAGTACAGTTGGCACCTTCAGCTCAGACATCCTCGTCCTTTTACCTGGTCTAGTCTCTGCGTGTGACCTTCAAGCCCATCAAAACGGGGGCCGATATCAAAATGACGAAAATCAAGATGTAAAGGCCGAACATTGAAACGTCGAAAAATAAAATGCCGAACAGCAAAACGCCGAAAGGTGAGAATGCGTACATATCTGATCGCCATATTTGGTACGGTATTGGCAGATGCTAGCTGCACCAGTGTGTTGGAATCATGGAAGTGTCTTCTGCAAAATTAGGAGCATGAAAAATGTGCAAGCTGCGCTCGAAGACGATATCGAGGCAGAAATCAGATTAGAACCTCGCCATCTACCACACAAGAAGCAAAGCATGCGAGAAGAGAGCCTGACAGCCGCTTTGGGCAACTGGGACAAGCTCAACATCCTTAGCTTTCTTTGGGAAATACGCACAAACTATTAGATCATATTCAACAAACAAAGAATTCCTCTGGCAGAACAAATGTTTCTTCCACTTTCTCAATCTAGAACCCTGTAGGTTCGTGTTGAACATAATATTTTGGAATTGTTTGGTCTCTGGTACCGGGTGATTCGGCTAATAGAGATTTCGGCGGTTTGTTCTTTCAGCATTTTTTATTTTTGGCATTTCGATAATGCATCCTTTCAATTTTTGGGTGTCCCAAGCGAGTGCAATGTTCTCTGGTCAAAACAATCAAAAACTTGAGAACGATGACATAGGCACAGATTGCTGTTGAGTCCATGGATGCCACTACGTCTTTCCTCTAGAAGGCAAGTGGAGACATATTCCAACCCTATCGGCAAAAGTCATATTCTTTACTCCAGTATCCAAATTGTCAGAAGGGGCTTTAGACGGTGTTTGCATTATTTTTGGTCAAAAAACTACACAAAAAGGCAGTCATTGAAGGCTCATTGCTCTGGTTCGTGCACCGTTTACAATGCAATGGCAATGCGAACTAGAAACCTTCCATTCGCCCAGCGATGCAAAGTATCCCCCCTCCCCCCCCCCCCCCACACACACACCAGCAATGTAAAACACCCCCCTGAAACAAATTTCTGGCTATGCCGCTGCAGGCCATGCACTCAAAAAAATAAAAAAATTTCCTCCTTCCCATACTATAATTGTCAAGGCAGTGCAGCCATATGGGGGGCGTACCATACTGATTTACGATTTATTTTTCCGCAGATATTGTCCACTTAGGGGTCGGTAGGTGTGTCGACCTCCTCAACGTAGTCCCCCTGGAGACGAACGCACTGGTTTTAGTAGTGTGGCAGCCTTTCCGTTCCGTTCCGGGACCACTCTTTGGGAGTGCTTCGCACCCACGCCTGGACAGCCGCTTCGAGTTCACCAGTGTCCATGAAATAGGGTCCTCATAGGTGGTTTTTTCATGGTGCTGAATGGCTGATGGTCACTGCGGGCTAGGCCGAGGGAGTACGGTGAATGTAGGGATGGGCATTGCCATGCTGCAAGAGCGTACCTGCCGCCCCTTTCCCTGGCAGCTTCTTGTGAATCGCGCAATCACCTGAGGGCAGCCACATACGGGGCGATGTTGATGGTGGTGGCCGGTTACATGCAGTCAATGAGCATAATGCCCTCCGTATTCAGAAAGCCACGCGAGGATGTCTTTGCGGACATTGATGACTCGGAGGCATCTGTCCAGGCGTGGGTGAGACACACTTATAAACAGTGCAGTGATGTGATTGCTGCGCCAAACTGCACCAAGGGGCTAACTTTGCTACATCCTGCTACATTTCACCGAAATATGGCTAATCCGTGCCAAGCCTGCGCCAAAGAAGCAATTTTGGTCGCCTTTCAAAAACGAAACGAAACTGAGAACCGTAATTGAGCATGCGTAAGCTAGGTCGCACAAGACGCCACCCGACACAAAGTACCCTGTAGTAATCGTCTATTTGGTCTTGCATGATTTTTCCCGACGTCTCGCGTTTCGTGCACTCGTCGTCTCAGGAATCTCGTCTCGCGTTTTTTTTTTTTTTTTTTTTAGCGGTAGACACGGGCGTGTGCGGACTCTCAGACGTCAGTGTATCGGGTGCCAAACATGCCGTCATGCTGTGAGACAAAACCACGTTTTTGCGCGGCGGGAGTTACTTTTTGAGCTGAAGCGCTCGCGCGACGTCGTGTGTTGCCGTCCCCACGTGGCTGCAGATATGGCGCTTACTAAACTGAAACGCATCGACATTCCTGCTCTTGTTTAAATCATACGCTGCTATAAAAATCCCTCTCTAATTCAATGACTGCTAGGCGAAGTTTTGATTACTTAGGTTTTTCCTGATGGGCTTTCTTTCGAGAGGGACCCCGGTACGTGAAAAATCTGCCGCAAAAGAAAGTTGGTGAAGAGAAGTGAGCTAAAGCAAAGAAGGCAATGTCTGCACGCTGAACCCGCACAGCGTGCTTGTTTGTCTCGAGTTCAGTCGTTTCACGAAGCGCTCCAAGAACTTTTTTGACCTTGATTCGCAGTGTCTTGCATCAATACGCTCAGGTTCTTTTTTTCTGTGTGTTTAGCCTGTACCTCGCCTGCCGGCCTGGCAAGCACAAGTCGCTGGACTGTTTATTGTCGTATGCTGGACAGTTACATTTTGCATACTATTTTGGGAACCATGCAGTTTGCGAAGGAGCGCGGAGTGGCATGGTTTCGGTTTCGGTCAAACAGCCGTTGTCTCCGCCCGCGCGACGAAGCACGTGTAACTGCAAGCCTGCCGAAGTTGCCCTTACGTGCATGTGAACATCATTGCAACAAAGGCACCAGCCGGGACGCTTGCAATGCGTTGTTTAACGTTTGCTTACTTTTTTTATAAAAATCTGCCACGTCAAGAATTTTGGCGGTGCCAGAAGAGTCCATGTGCGTATGGCAGCTGCCTAATTTGCTGTGAAAAGAGCTGCACAATAGTTTGTGCTCACTTGATTGTCACAAGGGGGGACGCCACGACAACAGCCACACTTGCATCTGCTCGTTTTCTCTGTCGTAACTTTGCCGGCATCTGACAGCATGACACTTTGGCTCCCGTAACATAATTTGTTGCCACTTTGGGACGGCTTTTGGTCCATGGGAGGTATATAGGGCAGTAAACGCCCCAGTCAGAGACGTGTCAAGGCGTCCTGCCCTCCAATCCTTCCTAGCTTCGATCCCTTAATCCCCAGATCTAGTTGAAAAGCCAAAATCTCAAGGTGGGGTGATAATTATTGGGTGTCTGGGTCTTGATTTACACTATTTTTGGATGCAGATGCCAGACACCCTGAAGCCGGTGGATGATCATCTCGACATGCTCCTTGTGGTGCCAGCAACACTTGCACCGCTGGTGTGGCATTCTTTGCACGCTATGCTGGGATAGTTTTTTAGGAGTGCCATGTCTGGACAGCTTATTCAGAAGCAGGCTGTCGTCGTCGAGATCCATGCTTTTTTTTTAACAGATGATGTTGCAGTGCCCACATGGGTGAGTATGACAGAAAGGATTCGAGATTGGAATAGGTCACCAAACAGTATCGCATCATTTTTCGTTAAAATATTTTTCTAACAACACTATTCATTGAAATAAACACTGAAATTCAAAGTTTCTCGTGCAAGAATGGGGAGGCCTGGGGGTACTCATATGTATCCCCACTACTCTGATGATAGTAGTGTCACCTCTAAATCAACACAGCATAATGGAAGACATATCGCAGTCTAAAACCGGAAAAAATGTTGATATATGTGTCTTGCAGATGCGTATATGACCAAATAGCAAATGATTGCGGTGCCCTGAGCCCTAAGGTATTCAGGACCAATAAACACATGGGGGTGGTAGCAGCTGTCATGGCAAATGGAAGCTGTCAGAATGACATGTTCGGATATTGACACGGATTGTGTCGGAGAGACATGAAATCACAACTGCTGGAGCCAGTCCAGTATTGCATGAGCACTTCAGCTCGTATGTTTACACCAAAGCTGTTCTGTGCGAGCTTCATAGAACACTCATGGCCAGGCTGCTATTCTCAAATCCCTAATCACCAGTACCAATGCCAAGCTTCGGCAGTGCCAGCAGCACTTTAGAAAATGTTAAATTGGGACGTTCTCTGATGAGTTCACATTCCCTGGCACTTGTGTGCAGGAAACCTTTGCAGTAGGTGTGTGCGAATATTGGTTCAAATTGAATAGTATGTTTGCCATAACCTTCGCGCTGCAAAGGGAAGCCGATGCAACCGGCTCTTTTTGCGCTGTTGATGCTAGAAACGACAGTGCACTATTTGATTCGAACCAATATTTGCACACCACTACTTCACAGGCTTACGAACTGCACTGTTTTGTCCCAAATTAAACATCATATGGGGAGCTTTCCACTGTTCTGGATGAATGGCTCCCATTCCCTCTGGCCAGTGCACATAATTTTCATGTGTCCTTCCCAAAACACAGCGATGCAATATTCGTCACCAACACCAATGACAGATATTATCTACAATTATGAACTTGGACCCTGTGAACTTATTTTATGTATCATGACCACGCAACAGATATTCCTTCCTTGTTAATTCCGGTGTATAACTGGTAGTTGTGTCGATTGGAGTTGGAGGTGCGTTAGGAGAACCAAGGCCTATAGTTTTTTTTTTTGTTTTTTTTTAACTCTGGAGCATTTAGAATGAATTTACAGCAGTTCACTTCAATTTGGCTTCCATGTCTAGCCCATCCGACATGGACTGCCAAATAGGGATTCTGCTATGTGATAGCTGGAGTGGACGTAACAGAAAAGCAGAGTATGATTACATGCCTAGAGAAATGAAAACAAGTGTAGAATTTGCCAACAGAGTGATAGGCTTTGCTTCTTACATCCAATCTCTGTCATTGTTCCAGGCACCACAGATTTGCAGCCTACAGGCAGTGTGCCCTGTGGCTGTGGAGCCGCTTGGGAAAGAAGAATAGGCGGCCCCTGCCATCCTGTGTGGTCAAGACAATTAGGGGCAGGTACCCTGCTGACGTGTATGCGGGCTACAGGGATGCAGAATAAATTGCGTTGACCTAGAGACCACGCAACCCCCCTCCCTGCATGTGTGTGAAGTCGCTCGTAGCCATGAACGGAATCCTCTAAATCACGTGACCTATTATCTACGATATCACGTGACCATAACTATGATCACATGATCGTAGTCAAACCAAAGCCAGTGCACCTACGTCACATTCAGTCACACGACGAAGCCGCCTCGGTGGCTCCGAGGCGAGAGTGCCGGCCTACGGATCCCCATGTGGCGGGTTCGAATCCCGGCCGAGGTGCCTGCAATCTGATGGAGGTTTATTGCGGAGAAGGCAGCTTGGTAATCGAGCTTTCGATTGCACGTCAAAAGATCCCCAGGTGGTCGAAATTAATCCTTGGTCCTCCGCTGGGGCGTGCCAGATGCCCGTCGTTGGTTTGGCACGTAAAACCCCCAAATTTGATTTGAGTCGCACGACCGGATTGCTTCATTTTCCTCCTAGAATCCAAAGGCTGTCATCAAAACTACTAGGGCGTGAGAAGTGCTCATTTGGAACACTAACCTAAGCAGTAAAATTTGGCACCCACTAATACCATTTTAAAGTAAAGATAGAAAAAGCACCGATGTCATGTTCGCGCTAACAGTGTTGCGCAGTGTACTTCTACTTTCATCTGGATCTGTTCTTTCAAATGGAAAAACTGCATATAACTAGGAAAAATCTGACTGCATGAAGCTACAAGATGCTTTCCTACATCAGCCGTCTGAGCGTGCCGGTGCGATGAGGCGAAAAAAGGCGAATTGCGATTGCTGCAGTTTTCAGAGGGACGTGGTCGATTGTTCCGAGGGTCTGGATGACGACGTGGCTAACATGACAAACAAATGACGTTCTGCTTGGGTGACTATAGTCCACTTCAATGCAGCGAACGACGGAGAGGAGGTCGCCTCCTCTCCAGCATTCGCTCTACTAAAGTGGAAAGGGGTGGGAGGAGCTTCCACTTCGTTCTTGACCTGTCACCGACTATAGGCATGCTGTAAATTGTTTTACTTTTTTTATTTAGAATTCATTGCCAACCTACATTTCATTACTGTACTCTCAACATGTGCTCTAGTATAGACTTTTCCAGTCCAAGCCTTCTGTGAAATCCTTTTTTTACTTGGCTGTGGAATGCTTTTTGAGCATGCACAATGGATCCCCTGCATGGAATATTCTAGGCCTCCATAGCCCAGTTACCCTGGATTTTTCCTCCCGGTGGTAAATAGGATCTGCTTATATATTTCAGTGAATACTACGATTGTTAGTTTATATTGTCGTTATAATTGGCAAGTATACCCTCACATCATGCAAATACTTTGAAGAAATGGCACAATTTCGGTCGGGTTTTTAGTTAGGCATAGTGCAGTATTCTAGTTACATCGACCCATGTATTGACCTCACAATGCAGAAATCATCCAGGGGATCACAAAATTAGTACTACCATCGGCATCACTTGTTTTCAATTATGAAATTATTTCCTTTTGGTCATGCAAATTTCTACACCTTCCAGGTTCTGGTACCGAGAAGTCAAGTTGTTGGAAAATTAATGCAGTTTATTTCAATCGTAAGTTTAGCGAATGTGCCTTACTTATTTGCAAGCAGGTCAATAATGACAGAAGACAAATGTTGCAGACGGGGGGAAAACCGTGGTGTAGGCTGGAAAATGCAGCACTGTTTTTAAATTGCCATAAAAAACTTCTGTTAATATTTCCAGTGTTATATGCAACCACCCCACTTATGTTATTGCTGCATTATCAGCCTACCTCCTGGATGAAAACCCCATTTATTGGAAACACGGGCGGGCTGCCCCGCCTCGGTGCAGTCTCCACAGCATGTCCGCTCATCAGCACATGAAAAGAAAGATGGATAAGGCATTGTGTTACAGTCTTCAGAAAAGTGTCGGTTGGGTTCCGAAAATGCTTCAATTTTCTAAAACTGCTGCGATGGGCTAAGCTTGTGAACTGGGGATGGGATCTCTGGTGCAGAACTACATGCTATTCAAAATAGCACTTGATCCGCCTTCATTGTGGTGTACCCACAATGGATATGACAATACGGTCACCGATTTCCTCGATCTTGAAAGCTTGCACAAATTATAGCTAGGATCCTGCGTTCTTGAATTTAATTTTTTTAGCAAAATTAGAGAGTGTTTTGTTTTTTGTTTTTTTTTTTTGAACCATCAATTTGGAGCTTCCATTTATGTACGCAAAGTTCGGAGTCTTTCGGCATTTTCGATGAGGCAAATGAAAGGTAGAAAACAGCAGTTTGTGAATTTAGTAAAGCAGTATTTTCATATGAGAGCCGTATTCATCTACTGTCGTAGAGGGCCTACCTCATTTTTATTATAAGGGGCTACATGGCAACGGAAGTTGACACTGCAATAAGAGGAGAATTGCAAAAATTGTTCGAAGATTCCGGGAAATATAAAGACTGGTGGGGCTTATAACAGCTGGCAGACCGAAAAATTGAGTTTTTCAAATGAATCTGAATCAGCAAAATTTTAACGGCTAGTGTTTTTTGGAGTTTATCAGGTTTATCTGAGAACGCAGAACCCTAATTACAGCTAATGGACTGGGAAGAATTATAGCACTGGCCTGTCCTCATCTCCTAATGCCTCTACTGTTGGCACTGATGTGCCAACAATAGAGGTGCACCATGCTGGGCTTGAAAAATCCGGCTTGAGAGGGCAGTTGCCAATGCTTGCATCTCTCCATTACGCTTGATCGTGGCCCTAAAATAAAGCATGATCAATAGAGGAGATCTGCATTTCTGTGAAAAATGATTGCAGACAGATCTAATGTCCTCCTTACTGTCGGTCAGGGTGTCCTAACGGAAAATGGTGATCCATTTTGCAGCTCGGCTGTTTTCTCTTGGGTCTGTCTGCTTGCATTCGCCGTACGTTCTGCAAAACAAAGCGGATATTGCCTACCATGGTAGTTTTTATTAGGACGAGGCTCCTGTGTGCTTACCACTGGCAGCATGAAAGATCCAACCAGGTCTTTGCTGCCTGCTGCTGTCCGCCTCGTTGACAGACTTTCCAACCTACAGTGAAAATTCAGACTGTTGCATAATTACATTCCTAGACATTCCAAGTTGGGCTAGATGGCGTTCACACTGAAGTTAGTGTCGTCCTCACCGCAAGTTGAGCTGTAGCCTTGAATCTCGCTGTTTTGTGACTTTTCTGTGACTTCGACATTGCCACCGGCTAAAGTTACTTGCCCTCTTTTGAGATAGGCATGCCATGACCAGCTTGATTAGGCCCTAAAATGGAACATTCTCATGAGGAGAGATCTGTATTTCTGTGAAAAATGATTGCGGACAGATATAATGTCCTCCTTACTGTCGGTCAGGGTGTCCTAACGGAGAATGGTGATCCAATTTTGCAGCTTGGCTGTTTTCTCTTGGGTCTGTCTGCTTGCATTCGCCGTACGTTCTGCAAAACAAAGCGGTTATTGCCTACCATAGTAGTTTTCATTAGGACGAGGCTCCTGTGTGCTTACCACTGGCAGCATGAAAGATCCAACCAGGTCTTTGCTGCCTGCTGCTGTCCGCCTCGTTGACAGACTTTCCAACCTACAGTGACAATTCAGACGGTTGCATAATTACATTCCTAGACATTCCAAGTTGGGCTAGATGGGCGTTCACACTGAAGTTAGTGTCGTCCTCACCGCAAGTTGAGCTGTAGCCTTGAGTCTCGCTGTTTGGTGACTTTTCTGTGACTCCGACATTGCCACCGGCTAAAGTTCCTTGCCCTCTTTTGAGATAGGCATGCCATGACCAGCTTGATTAGGCCCTAAAATGGAACATTCTCATGAGGAGAGATCTGCATTTCTGTGAAAAATGATTGCAGACAGATCTAACTTCCTCCTTACTGTCGGTCAGGGTGTCCTAATGGAAAATGGTGAACCATTTTGCAGCTCGGCTGTTTTCTCTTGGGTCTGTCTGCTTGCATTCGCCGTGCGTCCTGCAAAACAAAGCGGTTGCTTACCATGCAAGGCTGTATTAGGACCAGGGTGTAAGATAGACAGGTGGGGAAACGAGAGCCAAATGAGCGACCGGATTGTGTACCCCTCGGTTTTCTCTTTTTCTGTGGCGCCATCGATGTGGAGCACCGCAAACTCTCACTCCAGGTGGGCGACCGGTGGCGACTGGCTAAACTGACGGAGATGGTTTCACGTGGATTTTCAATAAAGACTGTCGTGCTCTCTGTTTATTTTGCGCACTCTCCCATAAAGTTCCATGCAAATCCGATTCCGATTTTTTTCCTCTCGCCGCAGCGCCATCTGTTGCAAATCGGGGGTACCCGCAAGCAGACGAGTACACAATCCGGTCACGGCGCTGCGGTAGGCTTCTATGGGCCGTTTCCTTACCTGCTTATCCTGCACCCTGATTAGGACCAAGGTCCTGTGTGCTTACCTGCGGCAGCATGGAAGTCCCGACCAGGGATTTGATGCCGTTACTGGGGCCTCTGGCCGAACCTGGACATTCGTGCTGCCACGAGTTCCTCTTTTGGAGGCCTTGTGTAGGCTGCAGTCATCGGTGCCGGGAAGACGACGGTGTTGGCCTTCGATGCAGCAGCCAGGGACCGCCACTGTTTGCTGCTCTCCATTGCCTCCTTGATGAGCTTTCCAACATACTCTAGAATTCAAACCTTTGCATGATAACATTCCTAGGCTCTCTGGACAAGGCATTCACACTGAAGTTAGTGTTATACTCACTGTAAGTGGGATCCGTAATCTCTGGTCGCGCTGTGTGGTGGCCCTTTCGTGCTTTTGATGTTACGACCGACCAACGTGGCTTGCCCTCTCGTGTGACGGCTTGGCAGCGGTTTGAGTTTTCGTTGAAATGGAGGATTGCAAGTCGAGTCCTGCAAGATGGTCACATTTCAGTGATGGTAAAGTGTGCCACTTACTAAGAGTGGTTATTCTGGCATCAATCCAATTCCATTATCTGATCATTAGGAAGAGACTGTCAGGTTTGTCGCATTGTAACCAATGGACTGGATGAAAGTGTCCAAACAAAGGAAATGTGATTGTAAATTGGTTGACTTACTTTGCAAGCATGCCTTCTGGGCTGAAAGCCTGGGACTTCGGGGCGAAGTCTATCAGGACGCTGTGGAACGCCTCCAAAGCATATGTCTGGCCATGTGGAGACATCTGTGCAAGGTCCTTCAGGAGCAGTTTGTTGCCAGTGATGCTCTTGAATTGGTTGTAGGCCTGCGAGTCTGAGGATGATACATGTTTTAGAAAAACCACCTTCATTTGTAAGAACAAAAACATACTGGGATCCATCCATGGTCGCGTTGGCTCTGGCATGTCACCATGGAGGCACCTTCCATAGGTTCCTTCGTTTGTTGATTGTTTGTTGATGACATGGTTGTGTATGCTGAGCCAGATGTCGATGAGCAGTTTCTCGTCGCCTCCTGCAGCCCTTGCTGACCAGTACATATGGTTTGTAGCTGTCTGGATCCAGATTTGCAGGTCTTGGCATCCAGCCCGTTTGCTTGCTGCTGTCAGCTTCTTTTTCACACCTAAAATTCAGAGTCGTGTCAGGGAAACCTGCAGCGTGATCGCTGGAAAATAAAAGCTACACGAATGGCCTGTTAGGATTGCTTACTTTTGGAGATGTGCCATATGTCAAAGAAGTGGTCAATCCCGGGTTCGTGCGTCTTCATGTGCTTTCGTGTGGCAGGGTGACGGTCAGTCACCAACGATCGGATCTTGATACCTGCACCATTAGGTTTCCGAAGATAGCAAAAGAATAAGTGATTATGCCAATTTGAACAGAGTGCCTGAAAGGCCGCCGAGTAGTGATATACATGAACTAAGCATGAACATACCTTTCTCCTTGAAGAATTGCAGCTGCTTGAGGAGGCCCTCCTTCTCCATGTTGACACTGGCCATGACCTGTTCAGACTAAAAGAAGGTGTGAAATGAATATTTTACCAAAATAGTGCATAGCAGTGAAGTAACTGATGACATAACACAAGAGAAAGATTATGAGATTGTTGCAACTGGTTCACGTAAATCTGACTACTTGCCTCTTTTAGCTGGACCTGGACAGAGTGTAGAATCTTGTTGATTTGCTCGACATGGACTGTGTACGTCAGGTACTTGGCACAGAACCCAGGGGAGTCAAATCTCCCGTCAGCAGAGATGTCCACCTCTTTGTTCTGCAACTCGTTGAGAAGTTCTTGTTGCTCTTGCATTCAGACCTGTTCATGCAGATAAATATTGCTTTAGAAAGGCATGGAGCATACTACAATAGTCCCATCTGTTTATGTATGCATAGTGTAGTGTTGTAGAATGAATGACTGAGTGAAAGAAAAAGGAAAGCACAATGCAGCGAGTTTGAATGTGACTTAGATTGTGCTAGGTTGTGATTTGTGTTTTTATGTTTGTGTATTTCATAAAAGAGGCAGCAGGCCGCCCGTTACCTCGAAGCTGCCCTACCCTTTTCCATTCTAACAACCACCCTCTGTCTCTTGACTCTCACGGGGAACCTGACTCACTCAACCCAATGCCAGACAGGGAACTGCCCCAGGACACTACACATAGCAGAAATAAATTAAAGTATCGTGGATTTAGTAGCCCATGGCACATATGTAACATGATGTATAAAATTTTATCTCTTAGCACTATACCATTGAAGTGGCATACTACAAGAAGATATTTATTCATTTAACCGAAGTGTGACTGGGGCTCCAGTTTTGTACCTCATTGGAAAATTGGGTATATGGGAAAAAATGCAGCTGCAGTGTCCCGGAATATTGCTCACCTTGTAGATTGCAGGTAAAGCGAAGCCCTTCCGATGCTCGTAGAAGCTCGAGTCGGAGATGACCTGCACGTTCATATGGCGTAGCATCCGCAGCGTAGGGGCAATCTTCACTCCAGAGAAGACCAGGTGGCTGGTCAGCAGTATGTTCCCTGCTGGTCTGCCGTTGACGATTGGCTGGCTTTTCCATGTGCGCACGTGCTCCACAGGGCAGATGCTGTAGACTGTGATCAGTGTGCCGGTAGTTTCGATCGTTGTTTGGCACAGTCTTGAGCACTCTTGGCACGTCTTGAAAAGCTCCCTTAGGCAGCTCTCGAACACCAGAAACTGGCGCTCTTCTTCTGGTGGTGGTGGTGGAGCTGATGCACCATGCTCGATTCTGAAATGGGATCATGTGAAGCATTCTTTACAGATTCTATGTGTTTATATGCACAACTTACCTCGTAATCCTCGCTGTGAGACGGAGAGTAGGTTGCGTCAGAGTCTGGCATGTTGCTGGGAACAGGAGATGTGCATTCATACGGCACCCCACTGCTACAAGTGGAGAAGGCAGACTCGGGTGGATGCGACTGTGCAGGCACGTCTGCGACAGGGACAGGTGGCACCACTGCAGGGATGTTTGTCTCAGCAGTACAGTCCCTGAGGGTCATTTCTGCCTCGCAGGGTGCAGGCAGTCCAGTTGCAAAGGGCACTGTTTATTACACATGCTGCATCTCAGACATCATCTTGTTCGCGCGTGTGCGTCTGGTGTCGGACTAACGACGACGACAACCAACAGACAGTCTCGAGAACAACGCGCGAGCAAATCACTGCAATGGAACTGATGGCCTAGCCCAACTAGCTGCCGATGCCCGGTCTGTTGCAAGAGCACATCTCCTGTAAATACTTGTACATAGATTAAAGACCACTAGTAACGTCTCTAATAATGTCTAGCAATGGCGACGAGTACCGAACCACCCTCTGAAGTCAACGGACGCAACTCCGAGTCTGCGGTGATGACGTACCAAGTACCACAGTTCGACGAGACGAAAGATAAGTGGACTTCGTATATTATCCGCATTGAGTCCTACTTCGAGGGAAACGGCATCATGGACGATGTAAAGAAGAGAGCGCTTCTCGTTTCGGCACTGGGCTCAAGAGCAATCGACATCTTGAGTGGGCGTTGCGCGCCAAGGAAGGTTAAAGAACTAACCTACTCTCAAGCGATTGAAATTCTCGAGGCATTTTACGCACCGAGACCGAACGAGATAGCTGAAAGCTTCAAATTTTTCACGAGGGTTCAGAAAGAGGAAGAGTCGGCTCAGCAATTCATCGTGGAACTGCGGCAGCTGGCCGATAAATGCAACTTCGGCGACATGTTAGACCGCATGCTACGAGACAAGATAGTGTGCGGAATTAGAAATATCGACGTTCAGAAGGCACTACTTTCCAAGCCCAAGTTGACATTGCAGGAAACTGAGAACATCGTGCTGGCGGCGGAGGCTGCGAGACAAGGTGTCAAACTCATGAAGCCTTCAGACGTGAAGTCAGAGCCCGAACTGCACAAACTGGCGGGTAAGCAACGACCGGGACCGTCACGCCAGTACAGGAAGGAAGAACGTGGACCATCGCTAGCGTGCGAACGGTGCGGCAGCAAGGAACACTCCGAGATGGCCTGCACGTTCAAGTATGCGAAGTGTTTCCAGTGTGGAAAGAAGGGACACATTGCAATAATGTGTCGCTTTAAGGGCAAGCGACAACAGAGGACGTTCGCACTAACCGAAAACTCCGCTGAGGACGACGACACAGCATTCTCCTCGCACCTGCTGTCCCTGAAACAAAATCCGATCGAGGAGAACAAGATCGTCGGTCCAGTTCGGCGCAAGTTCTGTTGGGGCGGAGTCGACATTATCATGGAGATCGACACGGGATCACCTGTGTGCGTGATATCCTCGGACGTTTACAACCAGCACAGGGAGAGTTGGCCAAGACTGGAGAAGTCAACCCTGAAGTTGTCTTGCTACTTGGGGCCACTGCCGATTGCCGGTAAGCTCACGCTTCCTGTTTCGTATGCCGACAAGACTGTCACAGCGTCGATGACTGTACTTCGCCGGCCAGGACCATGTTTGTGTGGCCGAGACCTGATCCAAGCACTAAACAACTTGGGGACTCCTGTTCTCAGTGTGTCAAACGCGAAAAGCCAATGTAAAGGGGAGGATCTGGATAAAATCTTGACCGAGTACGAAGAGGTATTTGAGCCAACGCTAGGACTGTTCGAGATTCCACCCGCCCGCCTGTATGTCAAGGAGGGGTCGGTTCCAAAGTTCTTCAGGGCTAGACTTCTTTCGTATGCTATGAGGGACAAGGTTTCTGACGAGCTCGACAGGCTAGTGAAGAACGGCGTTCTGTCTCCGGTTTCACACTCAGAGTGGGCAACCCCGATCGTGCCGGTTACGAAGAAGGACGGGTCAGTCAGAATTTGCGGCGATTACAAGCTAACCGTGAACGCGGCATGCGTTACAGAGCAATATCCGCTACCTGTGATTGATGACCTCTTCGCCGCTCTCAACGAGGGAGACGTGTACAGCACGCTGGATCTTCGCGACGCTTACAATCAGATTCCCCTTGACGAAGAGGCTAAGAAACTGACGGTCATCAATACCCATCGAGGATTGTTTTGTTACAACCGTCTGCCGTTTGGAGTGTCTTCCGCGCCCGCTATTTTTCAGCGTACTATGGAGACTATGCTGAAGGGTATTCCAGGCGTGCAGGCGTATTTGGATGATGTCCTGGTGGCAGAAAAGAAAGAAGATGGTGGAAAGAGCCTCAAGGCGGTTCTGAGGTGCTTCCGAGAAAACGGCGTCAAGTTAAGGAAGGACAAGTGCACCTTCCGGATGCCAGAAGTCTTGTACTTGGGACACAAGATCAGCAGCGACGGACTGCAGCCTCTGGAGAAGAACCTGGATGCTGTGATGAAGGCTCCAAGTCCTAAGAACGTAAGCGAATTACGTTCCTACATCGGGCTTCTAACATACTACAGCAAGTTTCTTCCGAACATGGCTACTTTGCTCGCTCCACTCTACGACCTTCTAGCCAAGGATCGCCGCTGGACCTGGGGTCCCGAGCAGCAAGAATCGTTCGAGAAGTCAAAACAAGCACTGCGACAAGCAAAGATGCTCACGCACTTCGACCCAGCGAAGCCACTGCGCCTGGAGTGCGACGCATCGCCGTGCGGAATAGGAGCGGTGTTGTCGCATCGCGTTGGACACATAGACAAGCCAATTGGGTTCCGATCCCGAAGACTGTCAAAGGCCGAGAGAAACTACTCTCAACTCGAGCGTGAAGCATTGGCGTTGGTGTTCGGAGTGTCTAGGTTCCGCGACTATCTGCTTGGTCGATCGTTTATTTTAGTCACAGATCACAAGCCTTTGGTTGGACTGTTTCGTGAGGACCGCCCGACACCAGTCATGGCCGCGGCTCGGATTCAGCGCTGGTCTTTGCTGCTGGGAGCTTACAACTACAGGATAGAGTATAAGCCTGGGCCAGACAACCAAAACGCCGACGCACTCAGTCGACTTCCACTGGAGACTTCCGAGGAAGCAACCGATGAGCTACCTGAGTATGTCCATTCGCTTCAACAGCTCGACAATACTCATCTTTCGTCACAAGTGCTCCGCCAACTGACCTTGAAGGATGAGGTCCTCCGTACGGTGAAGTCCTACATTCTCAGAGGTTGGCCTCGGGAGAGGAAAGTGTCTGATCCACGCATGCAAGCGTATTTTACTAGGAGGCTAGAAATGACCGTAGTCCAAGGTCTTATCTACTGGGGCCACCGAGTCATTGTTCCTGAGCCCGCACGAGACCAGATGCTGCAGCTTCTGCACGAGACGCACCAGGGTGCCTCAGCAATGAAGTCTGTCGCACGTACAATCGTGTGGTGGCCTGGACTTGACGGTGAGATCGAACGTCTGGCGAGCAATTGCCACACCTGTGTACAAGCAAGGTCGATGCCGCCGGCGAAGACTCCTGTTAATTGGCCTTTGACTCAGGAGAACTAATCGCGTGTTCACCTGGATTTCGCTGGTCCAGTAAACGGTGCGATGATCTTGGTTGCGGTGGATTCGCACTCGAAGTGGATAGAGGCAATCGCTATGCAACATGCCACGACCGAGT